AACATTCCCGATGCTCCCATTCTCTCACGGCAGCAGGATTTCCCTGAATCAACACTTTTTGCAGAGTTATGTAACAGTGAGTGCAGCACGCTTGACTCTCATCTAAGCAGACACTGCGAGCACAGTAGAAGCACCAGGGCACTTCTTTACACCAAACTGTGCTCCAAGCCAGCATGTGGATTTAAAAAATTTGAAAAATGGTTATTTATTTCTTGGAAGAGAGAGCAAGTTACCCAGGCAAAATCATGGATTCTTGTAGAGGGGTTGATAAGTAAATGAAGTGCAGGAAACAAGATTGAAAAGCTTTCAAATGCAGTCAAACTGAGCTTTTAAAGGAAGTGCAGTTCTTCAATACAAACAACGAATTTGGGACTACCAGTGTGCTGGAAATGCACCAAAGGAACTCCCCAGACCTCAACATAACTCCTCCTTTCTGTAATCTGGAATGCCTTTACAGCATTGCCTGAACAGAAAGGCAGGCCAAGGAAATCCTCAGTCGCAACCAAAGTCAATGCTGCAGGCTTGTGTACCACTGTCCAGCAGAGGCATTTCTTCTGTGGTAGGAAAGACTATTTTCCTTTACATTAATAATTTAGCCATGAACTTTCACACAGAAGAAAATACCAGCAATGTGATGTCTTAAATACACTTATGTAAATACACTAATGGAGACAGCAATTTTCTTTAGTGGCACAGCCTCCTCCACTCCTTTTCAGAACTGAAGTACCCATGAAGAGTGACTCAGTGGTAGCAAAAACATGTGAAAAAAGGACATACTGAAGTTTGTTTTTAAATACTGTCCACAGTCAGTATTATGGCTATCAGGAATTTGTGAAAACCATGGGTATGTAATATATTTTCTTGAGACATGGTGCATAAGAAACTTCACACTAAAATATCACAACTAGTGCATAGTAACCAGCCAAACATGTTTGATTCCTAACTAACCAAAGTCTTCTTTCAACTTGACCACAGCCACAAATCCCTAACCTACTAGCAAGGGTAATTAATCTCTTTTTTCTTTCTCCAACATCTTGGCCTTCCTGTCCTTTCTCTCTTTCTTAGATGTCCATGAAAGCAGATGGAACCTTCACGTGGAGAGACACACTTAACTATCTTACTTTGGGTTATCAAACAGAAGGGTATTTCTTTTCTCTACTTTAGTTTTCCTATTGCTTTAGTCTAATAATTTTTCCAATTCAAGTTTAGACCGCCCTGTGTAAACCATATGTACACATTAGTCCGAAGAGGGAGAGCAGTAGGGATGGTCAGGTACCAAGTGCCCACCACCTGCTGTCAGGTTGGGTATCAGGTATACTGGAACACAAAATCCTCTGATATGCCTGGGCTCACCCTTGAATTACCCTGGATAATTTTACAGAAGAGCTTTTTTACAGGTCTTTCTACATAGCCAGAATTACACGAAACTCTCCTGAATAATTTTTTATGCACACATATAGCCAGCACAACTCTCAGCTGTTCTCCCTGTCATGCTGCTGCGGAGTTACACTGAACATTGCTGTAAGAGAAGCTATGCAACCTAAGTGCAGTAGGGTGACATAATTCTGAGCTCAAGTTGATGGATTTTTCCATTGTAAGATTTTGCACAGTAACTCCTAATTAATTTTGAACATTGAAATTAATGAGCTTATCAAAGTAACAAGAAAGACCCACTGCTATCCTTGGTTCACCACAGTGTTTTGTGTTTCTTCTGGTATAAAATTACTTTTTGACCAACCATTTTAATCTATTTTCTGTTAAGAAGATTTTGCCTCTTACCCAGTAAGACAAGGATGCAGCTGAAGCTGCAGCTGAAGAGAACTGAAAAATTACTATCCTCCATTCTCTCTCAGTAGTCCATGTAGGTCCCAGAGCAAACATATAAGTTACTACTTTTTCAGTTTTGGGGAAAGCAGATGATTTTATATTAGGAATTCTACAAAATCGGTTAAAAATGTACCCTGCCCTTTCTACTCATATGGATATTAAGACTGGCTATAGAAGATCTTATGTTAAAGATGACAGCATTATGCTCACTGAATAACTGAGTAAAATTCTGAATTCATTCAGGACCTTACTTGTATCACAGAAGGGATTCAATATGCATCACAGAAAAATTATTACTTTTCATTGAACTCAATACAAAGCAAGCTACTAAGTAAATCAGGTGAAATATTAGAAGATTATGCAGAAGGATGTGTCTATGGACTGATCAGATAAGAACAGAAACTGGCTCAGGACTGGTCTGTATGACTGGAGCACACAAAACCTGCAAGGTCAGCAGCACTGAGTATCCACCACTGCGTCTCTGTAAGGATCTGCTCAAAGACTTTTCAACCTTTCACTACCAAAACAAGAGTGACCTGCTCCAGCTCTGATTTTAGAAATTCTGTGGCTGCCTGTACCACATAAGAGCCTTTGTTGGTGGAGATGTGGATTTAAAAGGCCTGAAGGAATTCTTATGATAATCTGGTCTGACTTCCTGCCTGGCACTGCCCATAATACCTCACGCAGCAATTTCTTTACAAAGCACAAGAACTTGTAACTCTACTAGAAGATATTTCAGAAGGAGATCTAATCTTGATTTAATTAGTCCAAGTGATCTACCGCATTCCTTTCTAAGCTTTTCCAGTGGTTAATTACACCCACAGTATCATAATTCCAGTGTGAACTCCTCTTCCTTATCTTGCCATGTTTTTGTCTGTTGGAGCCCTATTCTATCACCCTACACTGATATTTTTAGATACTAACCACATTACACCTCAAAATTCTCTTACCTGAGATAAATAGTTTGCCTGCTTGGCAAATCAAAACAGGGATTCCTGAATCCAACATACAGCAGCTGCAGTGGAGTAGTATATGTAGTGTTTGACTACAGAGACTAAAAGAGAAAATTCAATTCAAGTGCAAAGGAAAGGCACCAAGCATCTTTTTTAACAAGCTTTTCCAGCTTTCACAGCACTCACCCACTTTTAGGACCCGGAAATCTGGGATAAATAGCACCGCGATCTGCATAGCTTCATTTTTAACCTAACTGATAAATTCTAGCTCAAACAGGATCAGTAGTTACTAAATACTATAGTTAACTCATAAATAAAAAGTTGGCTGATGGAGGGTGGTTTTCTACTACCCATATGTCAAATCACACAAAAATTATGCTAACAGAATTACCTGGTACTTCTCTAGGCACTGCCAAGGCAGAAATCCAGGAGTGACCAATATATACCTCAAATACTTCCAGTTGTGATTCTAGTAAACAAAATAAGTAAATTTCCACTACTGCCGTCACGCCATATTACTTGGGCATATTACTTAGATATTTATATTACTGTAGCATTCAGAGGCTCCACATAAGACACTCTTGTGTTAGGTGATGAACTACAAACACAGCAAGTTTAATTCATTTTTGCAATGTTTGCCCAGTTCTTGTATGACTGAATCCTGGTAAGGAGACAGAAGGAGGACTTGTGTCCTCCCTGGATCACAGATGCTGATGAACTCAGTATACAAAGACTGCTTAGAACTAGAATTTCTTCTGGCATTTGCTAAATCCCTGTACTACCCATGTGGTTCTCAACACATTATAAAGTTCCTTAGCTTCCTTAGCCCTATTCCAGAAAGGTTTTCAGTCCTTCACGCTAATTTGGTACAAAGAGCAGCATCTGGCCATCTAGGACATATACCATATATGCACACATCTTTGCAAACTCTCCATGTACTAATACAAAGTAAGAACTGCAAAGCTAGATAGTCTGCTATTTACATCATTTGTCATGACACCTCATTACTTTTTCACAACACTACTGTTTTCTCCATTAATATTTCACATTTCTACTCACTTGTGGTTTCTAACAGTTTACATTTTGCATAGCTTAACTGCTTTTTCTTTTAGCCTCCCTCTTCCCTATTTCAAGGATATCCCTTTGCAAATCAGGAACACAGTTTATGCAGATGTATCAACTTCTACTGGTTTAAGATGTCAAGGTTTTAGAAACATTCCTTTTAAACACACTTTCATTTGGAAGGCTTTTGACTTAAAATAGATGCACGAAATCCAGCTAAAAACTCTGTAAACTTTTACTTTAACCACCGATAAAAAAACAAAACAGGCAAATACAGGAGGAAAGGACAACACTAACCAACAACGCTCCCCTTCCTTGGTAAACTCTGAATGGCTATTAAAATTGAAACTATTACCTGTGACTGAAAAGCAATTATGTATTTCTGTAATGCTCTGAATAGGTTCATTCTGCAGCTGCCTGTCAGAACAACTTTTTATCATATGCCTAGTTATGTTATTTGACATAGATCCTTCATTTTCTAGAAAACACACTACATGAATGTCCTCACTAGCATCTTCACTAGCAGTGGACAAAAGGAAAAGATAAACCCAATTTTTTAACATCCCTTGCAGTTGGTAATGTTTTGAAAGACCTTCTTCTGCCTTTTGGCCATCTAGCAGATGCATACAGAATCCATTTCCAGAATGCAGCCTGAATTATATTAGATATAACAGGAAATATTCACTGCTAGAAGAATTCACCCCTCCTTTATTTATTTAACTATGTAACTCATAAACTCCTACCATCACATCTCAAAACCCAAAAATCTATGACCCAAAAATCTATTTTAACAGTATATACTCTAAAATTTCATTTTCAAACTGCGAAAGAAGTGAAGATTTTCACTGAGTAGTGAAAACTATAACATCTGCTGAAAAATAATTACCTGTAAATTCCTTATAGGCAAAAAGTTTTCAAATCTATGCAAGTAGATTAGACCAAAAAGACCAAAAAGACCAAAGAGTAGCTTAGTAACAACAACAAAAAAAAGTTCAGTGTTAGACTCATTCTTTGATACTGCATCCTTTCCTATTTGTGCTTTGACATACTGACCCACACTATGTCTAGGGTCTACTCTGAAATGCCGAGCATATTTGTTAAAATTACTTCAAATTAACTTGAATATCTTACTAAAGTTGAATTAAAAAAAAATCTTACCTTATTAGAGCTTCATTTTCTGTTCATTCACTGAAAAGAGTAAAGAAATCTGTATTAAAGATCCATTTGATAAGAAGTACTTTATAAAGTTATAATTTTAGTTTCACTTCAATTAACACCAAAACTATGGGGTTCTTTTTACGTAACTGGAATAAGTCTCCATTATTTTGGAGAGCTGATCATTCTCAATACTCTGGGGTGGAGGCCTTTATTTACTTGCCATCTTACTATGCTGAAAAAAACATTTAAAATGCTTTGAGAATATCAATACAAACAACCGATCTCACCAATTCATCATCCAAACTGCAGGCTGATTAGGCACACTCGATAGGTTTATTTTCACTGCAAGCTGTATTTTATGACCAGCATTTGTATTGCCATTATTTTTATTGAACATTTCATTTTTTTTATTATAAGATGGGTTTACATAGCAGTATGCCTATTCACAGAGTTTCCTAGCCTGGAAAGTTTTTTTAGAAGTAGCTATTTTCTGCCTAACCCCCAAACACGTAAGGTCAGTGGTGGTTTAGAAGAATGAAAGCATCAAGCCATTTCATTAAACACCTGCTTCAGCTAAGCCACTCTATATGACACATTTGTCAACAACTTACCAACGTACATCGCAAAATCAAAAAAAACCAAAAAAAGCTTTAAGACTATTCTGAAAAAGTTCAGGCATGACTCAGAACAATCAATGAATGTTGAGGCCTGCACAAATATTAATTAACCTTTCATTTTCTTGTGAGTTTTGTTCAGCCCTTTACAACTGGGGAGAACTACTTGCAGGCATCGGTGTTATAATTGGGAATTGGATTCTGGTAATTCTGAAGCAAATGGGTATTTTTGCCACTAACGTATGCAAGAACAAAATCACAGTTTTTCTTATTTCATTTTCTAAATTAGCATAATACACAGCATGAAATAGAAAACAAAAAGCCAAGTCTAATAAAATCTGACAATTATTAGCAGTATTTGTTGTAAAGCAGAGAAAATCATGCTGAGTCACAGGCGAAGCATCTCAACCTCTAGCACTTTCTGTACACTTCATTAGCCATCAGTCAGTATGGTTAGAGATTTACAGATGAAGGGAAAACAAGGAGAGACCTTGTTCATCTTTGCCAAGGACGAATTCGAAGCTTGGCCTCAAAGCATGTGACCAACACAATGGTTGAAGAGATGAATTCTTTGCTCTGCAATGAAAATACTGTGATTTGAGGGACAGAGGGGTTAATAATAGTCTTCTAGAAATGAATCTGTCCATCTGAGGGAAGCGAAGCTTAAGTCAATAGCAGAAGTGCCTCTTCCCTCAATTTACAGTATGGTCACCTGATATTTTATGAGAGACCTACCAAATGAGACTATTTCAGAAATGTAACAGGTGAGCTAAAAGAGGGACATTCCTGGAGTGCAGAAAATCATGAGATAAATGACCCGTTTCGAGAAAAGGCATGAGATCCCATTTTTATGAGTCAGCTCATGAGAGCTGACTGACATTTACAATGTCTGATTTCCCATAACGGAGTATCTGCACATGTGAACCTTTAAAGGAAAAAGAATAACTATAAGGTCATTTAATTTCTTAGTAAAATATATAAAACCCTCATGGGTTTAATTTTCTACAGCTCCTTCTAATAATCAGCTATTAAAAACATTCATCAGCACCAGATTCGTTCACATTTACCTATCTGGCTTTAGGTGTGGGTAACCCACAAGACGTAATTTAAGAAAGATTTTGCTGTAATCAAGGGACAGAATCAGTAGGTATTTTATCACTGGATGCTACGCAGGGTTTCAATAGGATTGAGTGGGATTTATTACAGCACGGGCTAAATCCTTCTTACTTTTCTCATGCAAAACACCCATTGAAGCAAGACAGAGTGCAACTGAGGACGTATTACATCTCTGATTCTTTATTACTCACCTGTCACAATACTACAGTGGTCCACAGCACAAAATTTATGGGACCAGAATGGTTCTTTCTGGGAAGGGAAAGGAGTATCTTACAGGAGAGTCTGTTTTAATCATAAAGCAGGTACAGAGGCAAGTCTGAAGAAGACTAAAAGTCATCCTGGACTTGTGACAAGATCCATAGCTTTTAAAGCACAGTATTTCCATGCTACAAACACAGCACAAGCTGCTTTGAAGCTTATTTAGTGCATCCTACATACTTTTAAAGAAGAATGAAAGCTTACTTTGGCAGAGTTTGTGACTCCCATAAAGAAAAAACCCCTAGCATGCTTCAAGAAACGATTTGCATAAGTTTTCCTTATCTGATCTAGCTGTTGATAACAGGACAAGCTATAATGAGGGTCATCAGCACCTCCCATCATAGGTTCTCACGGGCCCTGCTGCCTCTCTAGCCTGATGGTCTCAGCAGAGATTTGCTCATGAGGACCCACTACTGTTCTCCATCAGGTAGCAGGAAGCTTCTGTCTTCAGATGATCTGGCTTCTATCCAAGTGGAGATAACCCCCACCCCAGTGTGCCCGAAACCACAGTGGGTAAGTGAGGTTCCAAGAGTTCAATGGTCCCTGCAGAAGACTTGTCCGGTTTCCTGTTTATCCACCTCTGACACCTTCGCAAAGAGTTTCACTCTTTCGAAAGTGTGGGCTCTACACTTTCAAATAAAAATATGATACTTCCTGTTTATTGCTTGTACTTCATGCTTAATGCCTCCTTGCTTAGATGGAGGGTGAGAGCATTACCAAAAAAAAAAAAAATCAAGACATTTTTGTTGCAATATTCAGATGTGTCATTTTTCTAAGCATATGCCTCTTTACAGTAAAATCTATACTTGCTGCCAGTCACCAAATGTGTTAACTCTGGACAGACTCTGGAAGGATTCTAGCAGACTGCCTCAAAGGCACATCAGTACCATTAAGTTAAACCAAGCAGACAACTGTCCACACTCAGTGACAACAGGCTGTGTAAATTCAACAAGGTATTTACCACTGTCCTTTGAATTCAGGTAAAAAAAAAAAAAAATCTTTCAGCAAGCTCCATCTTTTTCATCTCAAGAACCAATCTTGTAAATACTAAAACTAACACTAAGAAAATCTACTGACAAAGATTATTTTTATGATGTACTTTGCTATTGATGCTATTCATGATTTTTCTCAAAGAAGATTCACCACTGACTCATCGGACCACAGAAAATCAATATTGCCAAAATGATCGGACAGCAGAATAAATTTCCTCCTTTGCCACATTTAGAAATTTCCTGACTGCATGGAGTTGTACACATAAAAATGTTCCTTTTTGTTTCAGTCATCATTATTTCACCTCTTCTGTTTAGCAGAAACTGCAAAACTGAAGATACAGAAACACATCTTGCCATTAACTAAAATAGGGGGTTGATCCCTATAATGAATACACCCAATTAGCTAAAACAAGTTATTTCCAAATGATCCAGCACTTATCCAGTATGCAGTAGGAGAAAAGACATCCAGGTGCACTTGAGAAAATTTAAACTACATATTCTGCCTACGTCTTTGAGCAGATATCAGATCAGGGATGAGAGAACTACTTTTCTTCTTAACATTTTCTTCTTATCCAACAAAATCCTATTCATCCTATTAAGACTTATTTTCAGGCTCCTGACACCCATCACAGACATCTTCATTTAGAAAAAAACAACCTAAAGTTACCAAAAGACGAAAATCTATTCAGTTCTCTAGACCGATTCACAACCACCCAGAATTTGTTTCAGTTTACTTTTGTAGTCCCTGCAGAATCCTCTGACGTTCAGCGGTCCACAAAGAGACTGACTGAGCAAAGTAACTACAATTTCCTTTTTCACAAAAGATGACAAAAAGCCACCCAGACCTGAAAAAGCCACAGAGTTCTCATTCCCTCAGAGCCAAGGAAGGAAAAAGAAAGGGGTGGGGAACCAACAATCCTGACTAGGAGATAAATTCATTCTTAAAGACACACCAGTAAGTTTGGCTTTCAGTTCTGCTGTTTAGAAGCTCCCAGTAAGAATTAAAATGCATGTGAGGGGGGAAAAAGAAAAAAAAAAAAATCAGAGAAAATCTCACTGACCTCCCTCAGCAAAGCTCTTCCTCAAGATGCAATGAAATCTGCTGGCACAGAAAGGTAACTTAATTCTTCTTGCCACACCAGTCTTGACTCAAGGCCATTTGATTTCACAGTTCCAGTACTTGCAGTAGTTAGCAAGTTGTGCCATGCACTCTGTAGAGTGAAAAGCCATGACTGCAGCATGCCAAAGTCTAATCTGTGACAGGCATTCTCATTTCTGGAGCTCTGCAAAGCATGCCTTGGACTGGGCAGTGCTGCAAGGCAGCAGACAGGCCTGTGTGCATAGCCTAAACTCTGAGACCTAGGGATGCATCCTGAGAATGTTTACTACCAGTACAATGCTAATCACAATTGTGATGCGGGTATATGCTCTCTGCAGGATAAAAGGGTAGAAGAAAGCCAGTGTTTAGATTGGACAGCAAAGACAAGATCATAGCCGGAAGGCAGAAAACTCATAAAATAGTTCCAGATAAAGCATACATACAGATTAAAAATTAACCACTGTTGCCAAAAAAACGCACATAACCCCACCCACAGCTATACATGCCTATGTATGACTGCCAAATGCAAGAGGAATATGTGCTCTGTGCTCTGCTGCCCCATCACCATGACCAGTCACAGAGCCACCATCTCACATCTGTCCTGCTCCCCAAGAAAATGCCAAAAAAAGCATCACCATTTATTATTGCTCTTAATGACTGGTTGTCCTAGAAATCAGGAACTTCAATGATTTTTTGGAAGCTAGCCCTTCTTCTGGGTCTAAGAAGTCTTAAATTTTAGCCAGGTAGCTTGGCCCAACTGTGCAGAGGTGAAATAATGAGGAAACAAAAATCACCATTGCTACCACTGTATGCTTGTTGAGACCACTCTAGAGAATAAAAACTCACAGCTGCTTTACCGAAAATGCTACAAATAAGCTGTCCAGAAGCTATTATCTTCTTCAGTAAATGATGAGTCCAGACAGTAATGTCTGCAGTCCTGTTTTGCCAGCA